AGGAGGAGCCACTGAGAAAGTCCCCAGCTTCGTCGTGCTTAAAGTTGGGGCATATGCGTACCGTGCACAGCGACATTCTGACCTGCCAAGGCATGGCTTCAAGCCAAGGGCTTTGACAGTCGAGCATATGTAATAGTATCTCATGAAAGACTCTTCTTCGGAATATCAGTGACTGTGTCTAAGGAGGCATCATTCTTGAGGCCAAACTCCTACGTAGAGCGTCGCTTCCTACAGTTAGAGGAACTCCCAGAGGCACAGGCGGGTCCTGCATATTGGGGTTCAGGGATTACGGGTTAGTTGGTGTTCTCAGACAGGCGCCATCGTTGCCGGACGATTTGTTCACAGAGGCAACCAGGACAGCGCCTTGCTTTGCAAGTTGCAGATCCCGTTCTGGTAGGGACAATAAGTACTTGGAACACAACTTGGTGTCTCATCATCTAGTCAAGTCGAGTGTGACCATCCTCTAGGGTTTGTCTCAGCCAGTGTGTGAATGTGGATCCGTGATCAACTCATGTGTATGTATGGTCTCTCATGTGGTGGATACACTGATGCATGCACACATGCGTGCATCGTTGCGTGTGCACAGATAGAGCATAGCACATGCCCAAGCGAAAGTTTTCTTATCCCGCACTAGCAACGTATACAGTAGTTTATTCAACATCAGCTTGATGGTTCGGGGTGCGCGCCGCGAGTCGAAACCCACAGACCAACGAATGTAAGGAGTTGTGAGAGTTGAACACGACCCCGAGACCCATCCGCGCAGGAGCCCCCCGGAAGCGCAGAGACCGAGCAAGCTGAAGAGTGAGAAAAGGACCCTGCAGCGCTCGGGCATCCTCCGGGGCGGGTGGGATTTAGGGCGGTTGTCGGGTCTGCTATGGTCTGCTGCATGGGCTTAGTGCGGTAGGGCCAGGGTCTTCCTTGCTTAGCACTCCCGATGTCTACATATCTACATGCATGCATCCATACATAGATACGCACACATATCTACACACGCATATAGATAGATGAAGAGCTTGTACAAGTAAAGAAGCGGCAAGACTTAGCCACTTAGATTGACGTTACTTGGTTAGGGTCACAGATCGACAATCGCCACCAGAAATCTTAGGCCCTCGGCCTCGTCTCTTCACTGAGGCCTGGAGCACAAGAGCGACTCCGGACGTTGGCTCGTCCCCGCCTGAGTCCCCGAAGCCTTTGGTAGAGGCTTTAGAGGTTGTGTTGTTTTTTTTTGCTTGCGTTTTGATTTTAGGATATGGTGCTGGACTTTGGGTTTTGCAGCTTGGGGTGAGGGCTTTTCCAGGCCTTAGGGTCTAGCGTTTCTTGGTGAGATGTATGTAGTCATCCAGGACCGTTACACCTGACAACTTGCTGGAACTTGCAACTTGCAGGCCTCAAGGTTGCGTCTTTCAGGCTCGTCATCTGGGTAGGACGCTCACCCCAGCCCTGCAGCTGCCAGCAGGGATGCTGACCGGTTGTCGTCCTGTTCCCACTGATTTTACCCGGCCATCTTGGCAAAGGCGTTACAAGATAACAGGGCATCTCTCAGTCTTGTCAGCCGGCAGCGTCAGCGAGATGGCACGCTGTTCAGGACGTAAACAGTCAAGAGATGTCGAGTTGTTGACGCTCAAGTCAGGTTTTAATACAAGGTTGTGTTGCAGGCATGAATCGTTCTGGTGTGGGAGGGTGCATTGCGAGATCCTGTCGTTCTGTTCTGACTGCCAGCAGACAGCTGCCCACAGCTTTTTCCATGTCCGGACAGATGGGCGTCCCATTGTCTTGACCCTTCTTGCACGGACCTGGACAATCAACCCCCCCCCCCCCCCCCCCCATAACCCCAAACCCGATGGTCTTCCCTACCTATCTATCTATCTGTTTACCTATCTGTCTGTTTACCTATTTATCTATCTATCCATCCATCTATCCATCTGTCCATCTATCCATTTATCCATCTATCCATCTATCCATCTATCGATCTATCGGTCTTTCGGTCTATCCATCCATCTGTATATCTATATCTATATCTATATCTATATCTATATCTTTCTCTATATCTATATCTATATCTATATCTATATCTATATCTATATCTATATCTATATCTATATCTATATCTATATCTATATCTATATCTCTCTCTCTCCCTCTCTCTCTCTCTATATACATATACATACACATATTTGTGTGTATGTATGTACGTGAAGCATGGATGTATGTATGAACGTATGTATACATGCATGCATGGATGTATGTATGTATGTATGAATGTATGAATGAATGAATGAATGTATGTATGTATCTAATTATGTATGTATGTAATTATGTATGTATGTATGTATGTATGTATGTAGGTATGTATGTAGGTATGTATGTATGTAATTATGTATGTATGTAATTATGTATGTATGTAATTTTGTATGTATGTATGTATGTATGTATGTATGTATGTATGTATGTAAGTATGTAAGTATGTATGTCTGTATGTATGTATGTATGTATGTATGTATGTACCTGTCATATCCATGGTCACGCTCGGTCCTGGCGCCTCAGGTCCGTCTCGATGCCTCGGCTGGAGAGTTTGCCTTCAAGGAGGCACTGCATACACAGAGGATCGAGACAGAGAATCAACGCAGAATAGGAGCCGGAGAAAAAGAAGAGGTGACAGAGAGTCCGAGACAGCAAGCGGGGGAGAGAGCGAGAGAGAGAGAGAGAGAGAGAGAGAGAGAGAGAGTGACATGGGCCTGAGGGTCGGCAACGCTGACCCCTACGCCCTGCAGAAAGAAAGACAGACATGGGAGAATCTGCTGCTTGGGCAGGGCAATCTCCAGCTTCTCTCTGCAGTGAGCCCAGCTGGTCTTGGGTTCAGAAGACGCAGATGGGTCCACGAGGTCCCACCAAAGACCGGCAGCATGTGACCGAACAGATTAGTCAGTCCTGCTTGCCCAACAAAGGGAACGTAACGGAACAGGACAATCTTAATCTGATGACGGCGTCTGATGAGGCTTGAGCCCATGAACCCCGGATCCGGCGGCGAATGCAGAACTGGAATCTCGCCTTCCGGAGCCTGGGAGCTGAAGAACTTACTGCCCCGAGCTGAGGCGTGCGCCGCCAGCCCCGAGGGTGTCTCGGTCCTCGAGGGCTTGGACGCGCTGCTCTTACAGGCTCCGATATTTCATTGCTTTAGAATTGGTAGGTTTTGTCATGCTATATCTTATATCGTACCAAAAATTTCCGGTAAGAGAACCAATCGCCGATGCCAGCTCGGGAGGCTCTGCGTGCCAGAGTAGATATCATTCCTCACAAGCACAGGACGAGACATGAGGATTCGTACCGGGCAGTCAGCCAGAGGCTTGCGAAGTAGCGACAGGATTTAGCCTGTAGCCTTTGGCATGTCATGGGATCTCAAAGGCAGAGGGAGTGAGTCAAAACAGGTTGAAGGAGCCTTTCGTGCTTCAAGCATCTTCAAGCTGACGCTCCATGTTGCGAGTCAGCGCAGCCATTTCACGGCCCTCTCAGCTGTCGTCTCATCCTCCAGGGCATCAGAGTCTGCAGATCAATCTGGAAGGCTGAGGTCGCTACCGCACGCCACTTACGTAGCGAGTTAGCTCCTTGTCCACATGGACCGCGAGCGGACGATCGACCGAGCAAGGCCTCAGAGGGCTTGGGAAATTGGATTGGAGTCGGCCACGCCGAATGCCAATAAATAAACTTCTTGTCTTGGTCCAGCTCAATATCTGGATGCACTGAACGTGAACAAACGCTTTGTTCGTGCTGTGACGTGGAACCTGTTCAACGACTGGAGGAGTCGAAACTCCAGGTGCAGAACATCAGAGGGGTCAGATTGCGAGTGCTTCAATGTGTCCGGGCAGCTCATAAGAGAAGTCCAAGAGTAGTAAGTGTGCAGGACGCCGAGCTGTCAAGCCAAGCCTGACGCTGAGAGACTTGGGTCTGGGGCGAAGTGTATGGAGTCGGAGAATTCTGGGACACTCCTCGTCTGAGGCGACCTGCGAGCCCCAAGGCGACTCGCGAAGCTGGGCACAAGAGGTTAGAGTCTTTTGTATGGGTACAAATAGCAGGAGGGACAAGGGAGCATTACACAGCCATGAACCAGTAGGTGGTGGTGGTAGTGGTAGTAGCAGCAGGAGCAGCAGCAGTCGTCGTCGTCGTCTATTGAAAGCAAGCTGCCGGTGCTCTCGGAACTATTCAGAAACATCCGGCTTCACAAGAGCTTCAGTACCAGCATTTGCAGAACTAGCGTCGCTGGCTAACTAGCACTGTAGTAACTAGTTAGTGCAGTCGCCATTATCATCTTGATCTCGTCACTTCTGCTGTAGCCGGCAGCCTGCCGAAGGTGTGCTGCAGCTCCCTGGTCCCTTGTCAATACTAAGCCGTTTTAGGTTGTTTGTAGGCAACATATGTACATCACGACATAGTGCCCCAATGTACCACATGGCCTCTGCGGTGTTCCGGTGCGGGAGCTGCAGGGCACGTTCACTGAGTCCCTAACTTCTGGGATGATGAATCCAGACGAGATTCCGTAAGTCCAATGTAGTCGGGAGCCACGCCTCAACTATCAGGTCCTGCACCTTTTATACCTTGTATAAATGCGAAGACCAACTCAAAGACCCAGACTTCGAGCAGCCCTTCGGCCCAGAAGCTGCCCACGCTCCGCTCTTTTTTGGCCCTCCGCCTCACGCCATGGCCTTTGCCCCCGCGACCCGCAGAGCCCGCCCCGCCCTGGCCCTCATGATGGCCGGAGTGCGGGTGCGTTCTAAACGCATTTTGTCGAAGATGTCAGGATTCGAGACGGGGTTCGCCGTTCAAGCGTTGCATGTATCGGGGGCCATCTGTTTAGCTGCCAGAAGTTCCTGACGTTTTTTCCCTGGACACTGGAAGAAATCCTGAAACAGGGTCAAACAGAGCTTCCAAGTCCAAATTCCTCAAACGTAATTTGCTACATGCCCTAGCCCTAAATACCAAAGCGTCGAAAGCTCGGCCCAATGCAGGCCCTTGCAGGGCTTTATGCCCTCTTCTGCAGGACTGCGGGGCACATGATGCTAGATAGGAGTGCTTTTCTATAGTATTCTATAGGGTACTGTTGGATTCGTATAACGGATGTTGACGGATCGATATGCATCAGGGCAAGTGTTCAGCTGTCGGGGTTGCGCGGTTCTGTTTGGGCCTGCGCAGGTTGTGGTTAGATTTCATTCTGGAGGCTACATAACACTTATGTGCGATACTTGGCCCTGAATCCTAAACCCTAAACTTTCTAAACCCTAAACCCTAGGTCTGGTGCACTCCCTTGGAAGTCGCCCTTCATGGGCGAAAAAAGGAGCTCGGCCTTCGTCTCTGGCACCCCCTCGCTGCGCAGCCCAGGGCGCTCAGTGGCGGCGGCTGGGGCGATTCTGTGGAGTCTGAAGAGTAAACCTTTAAGGTCAATTTCACAACAACTTGGTGCTGCAGCAGGGTGTTTTCATTGCTGAGATCCAGGGTCTTGTGATTTTGGATTTGTGAGTGAACAAGAAGAACAGAAGGCTGCTGCACTAAAGGTTGCCAGAGGGTTAAAAAAGTGGCGACAAAAAGCAAGCATGCAAGTGCAAGTCTTCCAGACTTGCGAGAAGGGTGCTTTGTCAACGTTGGTACGGCCACACCACTAGACACATATGCCTGGACATGAGGACATGGGTTTCACCTTCGCGGACAAGCTGCCGGTTTGAAAGATGGGATACATTGCCACTTGTTGCACTTAGGTGTCCCGGGAGTCGAAGGTGGACGACATTGTGGAGGCCTGGTTAGTTGAACTGCCGCTAGACCCAAGAAAGGCGGGCAGGCAGGGCAAGCTGCCTGTGTTTCTTGTTCCCTAAGTCGCATACCGGCCCGCCGCCCATGCGCAAGTTCAGGAGGATTATATAGCACAGTCACACTTTTCTTCAGGGTCCCGGCCTCATCATCGCAGGCCCGATGCGTAAAATGGCACCAGTTTCCAAGAAGCCAGAACTTGACCCCCCTGTCACCATGCTTAGAATCATAGAAGTTTCCCCCAAAAACAACGTTCGCAAAACTCATTGGCTAATTGACGAGGTCAAGCCAACGAGGTATGACAACATAGGCCCAAACAGCAGAAATGCGAAACCGTTTGTTGTCAGCTCGATGCGTTTTTCCCTTGCAAGGAGCTCAAGGGCCTGACATTGCTAGAGGCCTCGGAACTTGTCAAGGCCCGGGCAAGATGCTTTGAAGGGGTCGGGTTCAGGGCCCATTCAGGGTCGGCTCGAGTGACATGCGGGGTTTCGCTTCTGAAAGCAGCTGTGAGTCTGAAGCTTGGGCTTGGTACAATCTGTCATGCTGCAAGGTATTTCAGCATCTTACCTTGTTGCGCAAAGTAGGTTCAGCTGTCGACGAAGCGGTGCTCTCTCAATCAGGCAGTCTTTCTCCCGAAAGCTGGCCCTGCTTCAGGCTATTGAGGAAACCTTCGGAGTGGATGCCTCCGCATCCGCGGGTGCAGTTGTGATGGCTGCCCCAGGCGCTGGCGGCGGCGAGGCAGGGGTTGCATCCTGTTGAGTCGAGTTTGGAATTCAAGTCTCACACAGTATTTCCTATTGCAATTCTCTTTGCTGCTATGGCTTCTTCGACTTACAACGCCGGTAGAACCCCCGGGTATCCCTAGTAATAACAGCCTTGAGAGTACTAGACCGTGATGTTGCCCACAGAACCTTGCCCTAATCCCATGCTAATCTTTTTAATGGCGCCGATCTTATCCATCATAATCGGGGTACTTTGATTTGGCATGCAATGCTGTGGCCGAGACTGAGCATCGAGCGTCATCTGCTGGACTATAAAGCTCAACATCTGAAGCGATCAAACGGGTTTCCATTTGGGCCTCTATGAGGCTTGCCAGAAGGGTTTCCATAATGATTTCGATGCGACTGTCTCATGTGCGCATAGCCTTGTTTTATTGCATAACTGATACGCAAAGCGTAAATCCTGTAGCTGGCGGGCTGCAGCACTCAACGGCGGAATACTGCTCGATTGCAAGATGTGCCGACAAGATCCATCACAACAGACGGTAGCTTCGGCAACCCCCCCAGCCCGTAAACCTGAAGCCTTAAGCCCCAGGACCAAAAACTCCACACCCTTAAAGTCTACAGCCATAGTACTGCGAACTTCACAGAGCCCAGTGCAGGCGGAGGCTGCCGCAGAGGAGAAGACGGAGTTTGACCTCATCCTCAAGGACGCTTTTGGAATTATTGTGCTCTCTTTCAAAGACATGAATACCATCTACCTGCTTATCTTTCTATGTATCTGCCTTCTTATCTAACTGTCTGCCTATCGACGTATCTACATATCTGCTTATCTATGTCTCCAGTCTAGCCTGTCCCAATGTAATTACTCTAATGTAGTTTAACATAACCTGCACGACTTATCGATCTGCCGATCCGTCGATGCGTGGATCCATTCATCTATCTATTTATCTATCTATCTATCTATCGGTCTATCTATCTATCTACCTACCTGCCTGTCTGCCTATCTATCTACCCATCTAACTGTATGTCTACCTGTCTACCTATCTATCTACCTATCTAGCTGCCTACCTATCTGCTTGCATATCTGCTACCGAAGTGACTTTATCTATATCTATCCATGACACATGCATACGTACATACATGCATACATACCTACATACTTGCGAACATACACCGACAGGGTACATACGTTTTATGTATAGATATGTTCATTGATATCCGTGTGCGCGTATCCTTCTGTCTCAGTTCGTTCTTTTTTCTGTGTCTCTGCCGCTGCGTGTCGCTTTCGACTTTGGTGCCCAGGTTTGCTAGGAATTTCGATCTAGTTACAGTAAAGCACCACAATCTGTGACGGCCATTTTGCCGCAGGAAGTGCCCAAGGAGAAGAAGATTGCAGCCCCTTGGGTTCTATTGGGTGGTGAAATCCCGAGCCTTGCAAATCCCGATCTAGTCCACTTCACAACAGCAGTCAGTGTACGAAGCGTCCAGGTGCATGCAGCAGCATGAGGTCAGCTCAAAAGTCACAAAACGCACCCACTGCCTGCTGCTTCAACTTCATGCCCACCAAAGGCTCCAGAACAAACGGGCCTGACTTCTGCGAAAGCTGTGGCACTCGATACATCTTGAACTGTTGGGAGCCCGGCAGCAAACACGCCAAACTCTATGCAGTCATAGACCTAGCTTGAAATTGAAGCACACAACATTACAGAAGCCCAGCTCCTGTAAAATGCTACAGCATGAAGGAAATGTACATCCCACAACTTGCGGACTTGAAGCCCTTGGGCTTTTCGCAGGGGGTGAGGCGTGTAAATTCGGATACAATAACAGAGCCTGAAATCTCAGAGGCTGAGCTCCAAGCGCAGAAAACATCACGCACCACGCGATCCATGGGACCACCAAGTCCTGAAAAAGGTCCCTAAACCCAAGCACCCGTAGAAGAACACCCTGGACTTGTAAGAGCCCTGCCAAGGTCATCAAGGCAGTGCGGGCCATCACTGGTCTCGGTTTGAAGGAGCTTCGGGGCTTTGGGGCCCCTGCGTTACTTTGGAACCACGGAATCATTGAATCAGCGTCGGGGAGCAGGGTGAAGAGCTTTGGCTTTAGCGGTCGAGGATGCAGCGTGTAGGTTGTCAGTCTGGAATAGCTGAGAACAGGATATCTGTTTGCAACTGCAATGATGAGGACCTCTGTGAGGTCAGAGTTCTGCTGGGTTGAGATACCTGTTTGGATCATTTCTACGGTGACCCCTCGAACGTGCGACATTGAGGCTCCTCACCCAAGCAGATGTGCACATGACCCCTCACTTAAGCCCCAGTCCTTTGAAGTCGCCTTGAGGTTGACAAAGCAGTGAAACTCTTCAGCCCGAGCAAAATCATGTGCACCCCACAAAGGTGTGCAACATCAATTCCTACAGAATTCCACACGAGACAGTCTCAAGCCAGAAAGGCCTCCAGTAAAAAAGCCTGAACCGGAATCCTTGTGCTGAAGCTCCTGAACCCAAAACCCCGGCGCAAAGAGACTTCAATTCAAGGTCCTGAAACCCTAAGCCCTAAAGCCACCAAAACCTATAGCACCTTATCACAATCCTTATAGAAACCTGTAAAGAACCTTTTGGAAACAAGCCCTTACGGAAGCCTTCTAAACCCTAACCCTAGACCCTCCGCCACGCGAGAGGGAAAACAAAACCCTGAAAGGCACGTGCCCTGACTAAACACAAAGTCCAACACCCCTGTGTAAAGGTAGCAGCTTTGGCCTTTTGTGAGCTCAGCCCTTCCGCAAAGTTTGTCCTGAAGCATGCAAGGGGTTAAATCCTACAGTGCTGCGGAATGCAATTCGCTGATTCTTTAGTAGTGGTGGTGGATGATACAAGGTGATCGCTTGTACAAGCCTCGCCTGCATCCTTCAAGATTCCAAATCCCTTCTAAAGGAGGCCAAGGGCTTGGCAGACAACCCGGGCAAGATCCTTGAGGCCAAGCCGAAGGACGCTGCGGGGTGGCTCCGCAGGGATTTCGAGCAGAGGGGTCCGAGGGTTTCGGGTTTTTTTTGGGGAGAGGCTGAATGGGCCCTGAACCCTTGCAGGTACCAAGATCCATGGAGCACTGAAACGAAACAGTTGTCACCAGGAGGCGTGCGAGGATGCCTTGAAGCAGCTCGAGGCCTCGTTGCAGGGTCTCGGAGGTCATGGGGTGCATGGTCTAGGAGTCTAGGAGTCAGGCCAAGAGGGCCTGTAGGGTTTCGGTTTCAGGCCTGAGCATCAGGCGCTCGGCTTTTTGAGTGCGGCGGAATCGAGATCTTGCGATCTGTAAGCTCTTAAGGTTAGGGGTTGAATCTGGGGGGCGTGGAGATTTCTGGCAGACGTCAGGGTGGAACTCGAGTGAACTATGAGGCTTTTCTCTAGTAAGTATCACTGAAGCCGACCATGCCGATCGCTGATGGCGAGCTTGCCGGAACGTTTTCAATCTTCGTCGTCCCGAGGTTGTGTTTTGGAGGTGTTCTAGGTCATGTTCCGATAACAGTGGCGCAGGTTATGTCATTGCTGCGATGATGCCAAAACCCAGAGTTGTCAAGCCCAAGTTGAGCCATCCTGACCTGTCACTCAGCCCGTCTTCTGAGGAGGCAGGGGCCAAGGCAGCCATCGAGTAAGCGGCAGATTCTTCTTGTGCTCACGGCGATGAAAAGGGTGCACCCCATCTTCGCTTTTCAACAGGTTTTGGCCGCAACCCTGACTCGTACGTCGCCACACCCTTAGCTTTAGATCCTGGACCTTGCAGAACTGTCCGAGCCTGAGTATTAATGGACCCCGATAAGGCCCGAACCCAGAAGGTTGGCCAGGCAGCAGGTTCACTACACAGTGAGGATGTGCCTTAGCTCCCTATGCTTTCTTGCTTTTCTTGCCCATCTGCCCTTGGACCCTGGGCCCCAAAGCTGTCGGCTCCTTCTCTTAGCACGCCCGAAGTCGGGAAGGGTAGGTAGGGTGGGTAGGTAGGTAGGTAGGTAGGTATAGGTTGCTTTCATTCGCATGCACAGACCTACCTATCTACTACCTACCTACCTACCTACCTACCTACCTGCCTGCCCGCCCGCCCGCCCGCCCGCCCGCCCGCCCGCCCGCCTGCCTGCCTGCCTACCCTCCTGCGTACGTACGCATGGCGTACGTATGCTCATAGGTGAATGCTTCTACTATGTCCGAGTATGTATAAGTATATACAGTTAATTTGTAGGTTGTACATATGTGTATGTTATATATATCTGTATCTATGTTCATATTTATATCATTTGTATCTTCTAGATCCAGATCTTAAATGTCTATCCTTAATATTCTTATATCTATATCCATATCTGTAACTAGATCTAGATCTATCTCTAGGACTGTATCTACATCCACATACCCATACCTATACTTATTGGCTATAGTACGTGTATGTAAGAGTTTTGAGATTTCAATCCAAGCCGAGCCAAGCCGCTTCAAAATCAGAACTCCGAAGTACTGCTAAGGCTGCCAGGGACATTCGGGTATGCGAGAAGGAGCTTCGCCGTGAGGTGACATGTCTTTGCCCAGGCTGACCGCTGCAACGTTGTTCCGTCCGACGCAAAGTGCCGTGGTTTTTTTCCCCCTTAGTCTCCCTGTGAATCGTAAACTGTTGATCCACAGCCAGACCTTCCACGCCAGCCCCCTCCCCGACGGAAGTTGATTGGATGTCGCATCCCTGCACGTTCTACACATGGGTTCTGCTGCCTCAGCCGCAAATCCTACACTCCTTGACCTCCATGCCTTGAACCCCTCACACCCCTCAGCCGCAAGCTTGCCATAACTCCACCTCGCTTCGGCCGCCGCCATGAGCGCCTCGCCTCGGCTTTGCTCGCCGCGGCTTCGCTCAGTTTCGCCGGTCTTGGATGTCGCGGCGAAGAGGTATCCAGACCTTGAGGGATTCAAGAGGATGTGTAAGTGCGTGTATATCCATATGGCATTTCGACAGTCATGTCCATTGAGCCATGAAGAATCAGAAAAGATCTGCCAGTCCCTGGCACATTTGGAGCGGGTCCGAATATGGTATGGAAGGTTTCACTTGCTCTCGTCATAGCGCGCCGCTGATCAATTTAATTGAGCACGGTATGGGGATTTGCGCGATGGCGCGACATGTTGTGATGAGCCCGGCCTGCCTGTGGCCCGTGGCCACTTCGAACCGAACCAACCTCCCCTGCTTTGCCTTATAGTTGCGCGCGTCCAAAACCCCAAAGCCCGCAAACTAAGTCTCCCCGAAAACGCAAAACCCCAAAGCAGCCCGAACTAAGCAGTTGTGTCGTTCTTTCTGACCGAGGCTCTTCTCAGCCTCGGCGGACGACCGGCGCGCCGGCAATGAGGGTCTCAGGTTCTAGGATTTGTGGGGCTGACGGGGTTTATGTAGGGTTTGAGTTTTGCGGCGGGCTGGTGTTTATGGTTTTTGTTTGGACAAGTCTGTCCATGCTGATCTGCTAGATGAGGACATATAGTATGACCGGGCCAGGTGCTTGGTGCAACCTGGTCAACTAGCCGCTAACCGTAGAATTGTACGTCGCCTGCACATCACTCGATCGAACCTGCCAACCGCCAACCTTACCTTTCACACGAAGCTGTGAGGGTCGAAACCCGAGCCTACGGGCAGAACAGCATCCGAAAAGCTTTCCGAACTCTAGACCCGACCCCAAACTCTGATCAAGCTGAGTCCCAGTCCCAGAGCGTGCACCGCATCTGCGAAGGTGCCTGCGGAACTTGACCCTCAAGAACGACAAGGCCGAAGACGACCCGAGGGCCCGAGCAGTGGTGTCTCGACGTTGGGACGATGGGGTTTAGGGGCGCGCCGCGGCTTCGGCGTCATGACTCGGATTTGCAGTCTTTCGCAAAGGTGTATGTTAACGGGGTAGGGAGTGCAGAGTACTCGTGGCAATTCGGAGTTTAGACGATAGTCTTCTTCGGCAACCCCTGAAGGACCGCACACGACGTCCATGCGTCATGTCGCTCCCGGCTCTGTGCTCGTGAGGAAAACAACTAGCGATCTCAATCATTGCAAGGAACTAGTCACTGATAGTCAACATCCTAAAGTAGCCATGTTGTTCAGGATTCGGTTGATACTTTGGGTTGATGGCACAGTTGTGTCTCTCTGGTTTTGTTCAGGGGGATGACATGGGGGGGATCAGGGCTACATCCACATCTGCTAGAGAGACGATTCTGTTCATGTGCAGCTTGACAGACTCAGGTTCAGTCGCGCTTTGCATCCCACAGGCTGGCATTGACTTCGGGTTCTTGACTGTTCTTGATGTGTTGATCCAAAGCTAGGGTTCCCGTCAAGAGTCTAAGGAGTACCTTGCGCTTCGGGTGCTCGCTGAAGCAGGAAGTGATCACCCTGAACATCCCTGATCAATTTCGGTGGGAATTTGGATAGCGTAGTGGTGGTCAGGATTCTGGCGATTCTCCCTCTGGAGGCCACTGCCTGCTGCTGCTGCTGCTGCTGCTGCTGCTGCTGCTGCTGCTGCTCCTTCTGCTACGACTGAGACCACTGCTCCCACATACCACGGTTGCTGACAACAGAAAGCTACTGTACTCCGACTCCTGTTGATCGACACTGTGAGCTCATGAAGAAGGCGTTGCACTATGGGTGCCTGTGATTTCGAACATGGACAAGGCCGCAACCAGCATCCTTCATCGCTTGTCGCAGTTGCAACCCAGCCCGTGGAAACTCCGAAGCCTCGGACACGAGTCTGTTCTGCCGAGCTCCTTGGAGGCTCTCGCAGTGCCGGGGCAAGTTGGCCACGGTGGCTGGACATCTAACGGCGGCCTCCAAGGCCCAAGAAATGCGCCAAACAAACGATTTGTGGAGTTGATTCCAAGATTTTCAGAGGTGAAAAGGTTCTGATGCTATAGGCCTTCTGATTTTTTTAGTGCCCTTGCAGTTTTCGTGGAGCCCCCATATGATTACTGGTACTAGCTCCAATAACAAGACGATGAACCCGAAGCGCTTCTGCATGAAGAATGTGCCATTTCGACGACATGAAGCATACATAGCATGAAGGACCAGTGCCATCAATTCATCTTGCAGGATGTCAGAGCTCTCTCACGTTCTGCCAAGAATCAAAGGCAGGCATCAGGAGCCACGAAAACCTGCGTAGGACTGCAGGGTTTGCGGACATCTGCGGACTCGAAACTGAAGTGCTTGGAAAACTAGAAAACAGCACTCGTACTGGGCAATGCAGGATGGTCAAGATGGAGCCCTAACTTTAGCTATTCATCCCAGGATCGAGAACATGTAATATTCCCTGGGGAAGGCGCTGGAACTTGCATTGTTAGGCCGAAGCCGGAAATCGCCCAATTTCGAGGGTTTTTTTGAGGGTTGAATAGTAATTAGTGATAGTATCCCTTTCCAGTGCCTACATATGAGTGTAATATAGTTTTCACCAAAACATTAATTACAAGGATAAATGAGTAAACCCAACATAAGTTCAGGCTCCTCCTCTAGTAGGTCCGTGCCCAACTACCAGGTGGGCACTCCCTGCCGCGTGGAGGTCGCCAGGCCATTGCTGTTGCTGTCTTGTGCAATGGAGCAGATAGTATGGCTAACCGCAGCAGTAGCAAGAAAGGCAGCACGGGTAACACTTCCAATGGTAACGATCAGAACAGAATAGCAGCCTAGCAACCATACTGACGAGGACCGGCACGAACGATGCAATTTGCCTTGGCAGCGTAGCTCACACGTACTGTGCATTCAGGCTTCCTGAGCCTCCGAGCTTGCTTTACTGCTTTACTATATCTCAGCCTGAACCTGGGGCCATTGCTCCAGTGAACCGAGCTCTGCTCACAGCCTGCATGAAGTCTTAACCCCAACCCCTATTCCCAGATGCAGGCTTCTCCAAGAGTTGGCGTGGCTGCTGGCGGATTATGTCTCGCTGCCCAGCCCCCGGAGCCCGCGGAGCCCCCGAAGTGCCAGGCGCGACGGCTCGTTTCGGGATGTGGCAGGGTCAGTTTGGCTGGAGAAGGCACATCAAAGCGCAAGAGCTTGGGCACTTGCTTGGGTGTACTTGAGCACCCTTTTGCGTCCTTGTAGCCGGTGCAGGTCTAGAGATGCTTAGCTTTCGAGACAGTTTGGGAGGCAGTGTTGAAAGGTCAGCACCTTCAAGTCGCTCAGGAGCTGTCAGGAGGGGGAGTATGGCTGCGACACTTTGCACGCTGTCCAATCTGACAGCACAGGATCAAGTTTCAATAGGCGGCGTGGCCTAGCAGCTTAGCAACTAAGCTGGCGATGGCGACTTCCGATGCTTTCGATGGACAGTGGCAGGGCCCTGAGGTGCACATCGATGTGCCTGGTAGCCCGACGGATCCGAATGACTCGACTCCAAGAAGTCATCACAAGCTTGTTCGGTTTTCATTGGTTGCTGGCGGCATGGCTGCCTTGATGAGCTTAGTGATCGCCGGGTTTATGGGTGGCTTTGCCGAGCTGCAGGACGCAGCAGAACCAAATCCTGCTGTGGCACGACGCTTGGGTGTCCAAAGCAACCCTTTCGAGGACAAGGTGTTCTATGTGAA